ACGTCTGCGGTCGATGTGAAGTACGACGTCGGTATGCCTCTTCTGTTCTGTTTTTGATATAAAACCAAATAGCTTTATTTTCTATAACCGAAGCAGGCTAAGAAAGCAGTAACAATTTTTTTCAACACGTTTTCGAATATCTTAGACTTTTATTTTCACGCACAGTGGATGATAGATGGAGAATTCGTAACTAAAGATGAGTTCAATTTTTAATTGTGTTGAAAAACTATATAAGAAAAATCCGAATGTGTATATCGAATGTGTATTAAATTTGAATTCATCTTACAGCAAACATTAGATTCAACTTTAACTTTGGTTAATCACGTCGCATACCTATAAAAAAGCAAATAGACACCATTTGTGTTGGTGGTGAATCATTGCTGTACGCATTTAGAATAACAGAAACGAGAAGCGTTGTGTGATTGCTCACATCGATACAACTCAAATAAAGAAGTCTAATATCTAGCAAAGGGTCAATAATGTTACTAGACTTTTCTGACGACATCTTCAGTTACAGATTTTAAACTGGGTGGAAAAACTAAATTTTTGTAAAAACCTTGATTTAATCAAATTTGAATCAAATCAAAATCTTTTCAGTACTGTACCAACCAATTGGTTATTTTCAAGTAAAGATGAGCTGAACATGGTCATAACTTTTCATTTTGCAGGAAGAAAATAAAAGCTTCCCTACGTTTTCTCTTCATTACATCGAGGAAGTTGTTAATTAAAGGTGCATTTCAAAATTCTTACTGTTTTCTTTGCCGCGGCACAATGGATTTATTTTAATGCCATTTCGATATATTCAGTTGTCCGGCATCATTTGTTTTTCCGAGAAAAAGTAATTCTCTAACACCTATCAAAATAATTATGCGTTTTTGCGGTCACCATTAATTTGTACTAAATATATCTTCCACTTTTTGCTTTGCTTCAGTAGTTTTAAAGAGGTTTTTTTTCATTCATTTCACAAAAACAAATGTTGCTACTATGCTCAGCGTAGTCGATTACTTATAGTCCATGGCATTTTGAGATTCCCAGAGATGTCTGCTCGGAGACAGACACGTGCTCGGGGAAAGATTACAGTCTTGATAATAATCAGGTATAGAAAGAGAGAGTTTGAAAACGAGTACTTCCATCACATTATCGTAGTATTACAAAGAGATTATCAAACTGACTTTATAGTGTAACACTTCTTTATAGTGTAATATTTCAATATCGACTATGATCACATGTAAAATAAATACATACAGACTTGAATCTGAACATGTGGTACGAGGACTGACGACTAAATGCATCCGCTATAGTGTCACTAAAACATAGAGGATATTCAAAATTCGAACTGAAATTCATTGGATGAAAATTTTAGATTTAAATTAGCTTCAAATGACATTTCATTTCCCCATATTTTTTTGTTATGCTCAAGCGCAGCAACTGAGATCTTCGATGAGGGCGCCGCACGATAAATCTCCAGCACAGTCTGTTAGTGGTGCCCTCATCGGAGATCTCAGTAGCTACGCTTGAGCATAACAAAAAAATATGGGGAAATGAAATGTTATTTGAAGCTAATTTAAATCTAAAATTTTCATCCAATGAATTTTAGCTCGAATTTTGAATATCCTATATGTTTTAGTGACACTATAGCGGATGCACTTAATCGTCAGTCCTCATACCAATGGTCAGAATTCTAAAACTGTCATTTATTCTCTTTATTTTAGTCTAGGATCTTGCAAAATGGTTCTTAGATATTCTATGGATAAGCCAATCACAGGAGAGTAAAATAGACAACTCTTTTTTAAAGATAATGTTCAGAGAGATGACCTGAAATATCTACTGATGAAAACAGAAAAAGCCAAAAAGCAAGTTTTTGCTATAATCCAGAGAGAAATATCGCCAGAAATCAGTCAATTTTCCTAACAAGAATAAAATCATCTACGAGTAATAAAACTTCAGACAGAAGAGAGATAGTCTGTCACGGCGAATCGATTAGAAATACTTGGAGCTCTGTTAGACGGTTCAGAGGATGTCCCGAAAACGTTTTAGCTTTATATCACACTGCACACTTTTTCCATATAGTAGGATCAAAGAAGTACGCAACATTTCTGAGCTATTCTGCTATTTTTAAATTGACATTAGATGACGAACCTTACATATCAGATCAGTGAAAAATTCACAACATATTTTAGATAGCGAACGCCGACCGAAGGGAGGCGTAAACTTATTTTGGATTCAAAAGTCATAGAAGCAGAGCCCTGCAGGTTGCCAGTATTTGGCAACCTATAAGCTAACCTATAAAAAATTTCACAACCTAATCCTAACCTAACCATTGAAAAAAAATAGAACAACCTATAACCTAATCTAGCCTATAACTTTTGCAACCTAATCCTAACCTATACAGGTCATCGCTATATAGGTATCGCCGACCGAAGGGAGGCGTAAACTTATTTTGGATTCAAAACTCATAGAAGGTCTTTCGCAGATATTAATTCCTAAAGCCAAGGGACAGAGCGACTGCAGACGAGCGTTACCTTGCAAGGAAATGGGGTCTAGAAAATTAATTGTTTGTTTGTCCGCAAAACATGGAAAACTAACCGAAAAGTAATCTATGGGCTAACCAAACAGAAGAGGCAAAAATGGAAAAAAATGTCGATGTAAAACTGATAGAATTAGGTTATCTGAAGAAAGAGTGTACTCTAATAGATAGTTGTTTTACCACATGTCCTCCACGCTCAGTACGAAAAAAGCATCCATGGATTATAGCTAAGACTATCAAATGACCGTTATTTTACAGAGTCACAGTCAGTTGCTAATAATAACCGTGATGAGACAACAAGTGATCAGAATGAAAGTGATGAAGAGCAAAATGAACGCGAAACATCAACCACAACTGTATCTAAACGGACGAATAAAACTCAAGCGCGATCAACAGCGACAACAACATCAAATGCCGAATAAGATACATTTTTAGAAAAATTTTAACAACAACAACGAAAATGTGAAAAATTAGAAACAAAAGCAAAAATTAGTCATCGTGCATTTTGTCCTTTTTTCCCAGAAGTATGTTGACTTATCTATCATATACCTGAAAAGATGATTGGGCTTTTTCTTCTTGTAGATAAAACAAGAATGTTGGTGGCTTTACGTTGCCGATAGAAAACATCATTCTTTGATAACTGCACCAGTCTATCTCTGCACATTAAAAGATAAAGCAGAAGTAAGTTATGAATGATATATACAAACTGAGAACGTTAGAGGAAAATCTAACTGGAGAGAACCCCCCTTAATATTCCTAAAATTGTTATTGAAATAGCTAAGACAACTGTCATAATATAACGGACAAAGATATACATAATTCACGTCGTTTAGACAAACAGTACTGGAGACCAATTGCTGAGCGTTCTCTTCGATTTCCAGACGGGCTACCGTTATATCATAAAGTAAAATCTTGCGCAACCATCAACCTTTTAACAATGTCTATAGTAACAAACACTTATCCCAGTTAATTTTTGAACTTCAGCGTGAAAAACTGCGTCTAACAATCTGTTTGTAAGGATTATCTCAGAGAAAAAGTCTCCTGAAACTTGATAACTCTGGGAAACGTTTGTGTGAATAGACCCATAAGCTGCTCTTCATTTCAAATCCTGCTAGAGAGCTATAGTATGAATATGATGATAAGACGAATATGGTGAAAGGTCATTTCCTCGTTCATGCGGATATCGAAGTTTCATTA